CAATGTGCAAATCATGCAAAAAGTACTAAACGGATTTTTACTAAATTTTGTGTAGTGGTAACTTACTACACGGGTCAACATTAAGCGTACCTTTTACTACAGGAAAATCTCTCATTCCCACGGGAAAACATAATAACTGGTCAGCCGACTTTTACTTCATACAAAGAATGAATAATTTATCACACAAAAGTTCTAGTTACAGTTTTATAATTATTATATAAATAACAATTCAGTGCAGTAAAATCTTTCATTTTCATGGGAAAATGCAAAATTTAGTTCGAGAGCAAGTCTTTCATCTATATCTACGAGGTATGGCTATTAAATAACGAGATTGACGCTGAAAAACATTTTATTTTGATTTTATATATACTCGTAGGAATTTGCTTATTATCACCTGTAATAAACATATTTCCTTTATCTCTACCTCGCTCCATGCGAATCTTCTGTGGTTTGAAACCGAGCTGGTAGGAGCTTTTTTGTCATCTCCTTCAGAACACGTGGCGCTTTCTCTTTCACGTCTTCAACAGACTTGCTCCTATTAAAGCAGATTTTCCTTTGAGAAATAGATAGAATTCGCACAACATATAACAATAAGGCGGATAGTCTAACAGTGAGATGCTGTACATGGCTACAAACCTCTCGACAGATAATGCGGGAAAAGCCAACATATTGTTTTGATGGATAAACCATAACTTGTCCTTCCATATGATCATTTTTTCTTATTCTTTAAAGGTGTTCACGAGTACTTAACCGACGATCTAATCAGACCAGATTACCGATTTATTTGATATTTTATCTAGTTTTTACGTGTAAAGTTGGCCCTGGCGCAAAATCATCTTTAAAGTTTTCCCGGCAATCTTTAAAACGCTTAAACCTCTCGAAAATACTTAAATGCAATAAATTTTAAGTAGCAAGTAGTGTATACTTTCAATAAATTATGAGTTTTAATAGCGGGTTTTCGAAATGTTTTGTGAAATTTTACAAACAATTCGTAGCTCTTTTACACTGCACTTAATATTTTTCCGGAGAAACGAAAAAAAAAAACAACTATAATGGGAACGAACGCTACGGTTATACGGATTTGTTAACAGAAGTTAGATATACTACATTCGAAAAATGTAGGCATCAATCATCTAAACAACTGCAATAACTGGTCACAAAGGTGTATGTGTGTTCTTCAGCAGCAGTGTCAATTTCGTTATTTAATTTCCATATCTCTTCTCTTATACCTTACAATATACATAGTATAAAACAAAATCGCTGTATGCCTCTGTGTTTCTTCGCTTAATTCTTTTACACCACGCAACGGTTGGCATAGTCATACAGTAAAGGAAAAACTGTTATATATATATATATATATATATATATATATATATATATATATATATATATATATATATATATATATATATATATATATATATATATATATATATATAATTTGTAAATATTTTGTACAAAATACAAATAAGCTATGACGGTTTTTTTTTTACTTTTTTCTCATGATGAGATAGAGATACAAACAATGTATTAAAAAATTGTAGGCTTTAAAAAGGCCTATAGAAAAGATCAGGATAGCTAGAGATATGTTTATCTCCTAAAATACGCTCAATAACTATTTTGGAATGCACCCGAGCGACGCGATGTTAAATGACTAGTTAAAAATAACTTACGAAATAAGGACAAACACTGGGTTAAAAAAAACATTCATAGCTTGTAAATATCGAACCTGTGACCAGCCAATGAGAAACTGAAACATTACGCCTCAACGCTCGTTTAATTTAATGTGTATCTCTCAGTGTATTCACTTTGTAAACTCGCCTGTGTGCTCCTCGCATAAGAACTCTTTACTTTCCTTAAAATAACCGCGTAGATGTAATTTACACACTACACTTGCATATTATTTAACAACAATAATAGGAAAGCCAAAGCATTACATAATTTGTTTATTATGAGGAATCCGATTTAATATATATATTTGAATACAATTATTTATTACTAGCATTTCCCGCGGCTCCGCCCGCGTTCAGATGATCAAAAACCAAATTCTTAGGTTTTACATACTAGTATACTCTTACATTACAGTTTTTGTATTTTTTTCTCAGAAATGAGATGTTTTTCTGCTGTAAAAAGTATCCTATATTTTGACCCAGATAATCAGCTATGACCATACCAAATTTTATCAAAATCCGTCCACTAGTTTTTCTGTGATGCGGTAACAGACAGACAAAAATTCAAAAAACTATAGATTCGGCCTCTGTATCGATAATATTGTCTATTTCAATAAGATTTTCCAAAAAATATTTAATGTACAGATTTGACTCAGAATTTTATTATATGTATAGATTAAACCCATTTTCTACTATTAATAAAATTGTTATAGTACCCGGTCAACTTTCGTACAATATTGAAATTTATTTAAAAAATGGTGGTCAAAGTCAAAATTGAGTCTTATTATATCAAGACTTGCAAAAATATTGGCTTTTAGTTACTGTTATTACATATTATTTCCTTACGAAAAATACGATTGGTTACATTAAGCTATGCTAATCGCTATGTCTTCGCTGCCGAGACTAACCGGCTTCGTAGCTTTCAAACTGACAGATTTATTGTTTTTTTTTTTTAAACATTTATATTTTTTTAAATTGGTTTGTAAATTGTTGTTAGTTTTGATGTATACATTTTATAAATTATATAATATATTTTGACGTATACAGTCGATTGCAATTTTAATACATTTTAATAAATTCTCATTTTAAAAATTTCTTATTATTTTACCAGGACACTGCAGAAATCCTCTCCGAATAAGTCAGAAAACCTAACTTAATGAAATAGGTTAGATATCGTGGTAAGGCTCTATCAGACAGTCTTGATTATAAGTTTTCGATTATAACCATGTTTTGAGAGTATGTAAATAAAAAGTAAAATAGGTACATATAAATTTCATTGTTAAATACAAAAAAGCAACATAAGTATCACGTTCCCAGAAGTGTTCAAAGGAACGCTTTACGAACAAACCTACATAGATTACTGCACACTACTTTACAGTATAATTTTCAAAGTCATAAATTGACGTGAAATAAAAGCCAATAAATATTAATTATTTTTATTTTGTTTTGCTTAACGTCTCTAATATATACTTGTTTATATTTTTTTCTTTCATATTTGTAAAAAAATCTATTACTAACCTACCCGCATATCAGATTCTATTTAATCAACAGCCACATAGAAATTTACAAGCATTGTCTTTGGGTTTCTCTACGAATTTAAACATTTTAACAGCTTTTATATGTTACTGTATCCGTTCGTTTAGTTTATTTATGTGTAACTGCTACGCCAGTTCGGAACGTAGCGTGATGTTACATAGCCTAATGACCTTTCTTAATAAATTCTCAAATAAATATTAATTGAGACTGGTATATACATACGAATATAAAAGCATCCACATAAAAAAACCAACGCACACATAAGAAAAATAAGTTGAAAATATGTTCTATCAGTACCATACCGAGTATATGTGGAGGTTTGATAACGCGATAACTTACAGGAGTAGATTATCAACATAAATATCCATGATTAAGTCTTAGCGAATATTTTATTATATTATTTATGGCTTAAATAACAAGAAATTCTTCATATCACAAACATAAAACTCGTATTTTACTAATGACGTTCTGTGCATGCGCACTATTTTTAAACGGACTTCCAAGGGACTTTCCAAAGGAGGAAGTTCTGTTTGTCTGTATGTATTTTTCTTCTTGTTTTATTTTTGTGTATGTTTTACGATTTCCCAGAGAGGACAGGACCCGAGTTTGCCACTTTAAATTGTATTTTGTTAAGTTAGGTCCCGAGGTGGTCTCATTAAATTTTCTTTAACACAAAATATACCATTTTTCATAAAATCTGGGAAAATCCATGAAATTTGAAGTATTTTATTCTAAGTTAGATCTAATTAGACTTTATAAACTACTTCGAATTATCATGTCGTTTGCAAGTGTTTGTATTTCTGATAATATTGCAATAATTTCATATCTGTAAGCTGATCTGATGGTGAGGCCAGAAACTGGAAATTGGAACTCTTCAACGGTTCTTAGTAAATAAACATTAGAATTGAATTTTAGAGCCTAATTTTTAGTGTTACTATTACAACCGAGTTTTTTAGTTTATTAGTCTTCATATAAAAATTGGCATCAAACAAACTTAAATGGTTTGCGAATATTTTATTTGAAATACGTTCTTCTTACAAACTTGCCAGTACTATGTCTGCAATAAACATGGAAAAATAAAAACTCTTTAGGAAAAAAATCAGAACCGTCTGCGTCACACTAAAAAGTAAAAATATTTAAGAAACATAAAAACCGACTTATAAACACTAAAAAGTAAAAAAAATGCTGAACGGTGGTTTTCATTAACCTAGTTAGACATTAGACACCTAATCAGATATTTTCGAAGTCGGTGCCAGCCGAAATTGCTTTAAGATATGAATATTTAAAAAATAAATATTACATTCTGAAAATAGATTTGTTTTGCTTTGCGTAGGCTGGCACCGAATTCGAAAATGTCTGATTAAGTATCTACATACATATGTATATTAAATGAAAACCCCCGTTCAGTCATTTTTTACTTTTTAGTGTCTTTAAATCGATTTTATTATTATTAAGAAGGTTTTTAATAAAAAATTTAATCTTTTATAAAAAGAGAAACTTTAAATTTTACCAAGAAAACTTCTTTAAATTTAAACAAACTTTAAAAATTAGATAGCTTAGGAGTTGAAGTTACAAAGTGAAGTCAGAAAACACGAGTACCCAGCTTGGCAGGGAATGCTTAAAATTAATGAAGATTACAAAATTCACGGCCATTGAGTTCCGCGGTTCAACGAACCTTCGACTTTAACTTGCTTGTTAGACTAAATTGAGAGAAATAATAGGTCTAATTTGTTTGGTTTAAATGTACCCTTTCAATTAATTAAAATACTTTGTGATTTGAGTTGTAGTACTTACTTTCTTCCTTTATGGTCGGTGTAAACGATATGGTTTCTGGCTGCTGGTGTGTGTCGGTTTCGACCAAGAGAATTGGTTTCCATCACCGATAATTACTCTCTACTGTCCAAAGTTATGTCCGTGTGCTCATATGGGGACAGTTCTGCGTAGACTGTTCGGTTAGTTCTGCAACCACGAATACTTTATAGTAGTTCAGTCAGTGACCGAGATCACAGAATTATGCGCCCGCCGCCGCGAGGACACGTTTAACAACTTCGGATGGTCGGCTTGTTAGAACTCACTGTTCTCCAGACATTGTACACAGTTTCAACTTCTTGGCTGCAAAAGTTTTAGTCGTTGTTGATTCTGTTCGTTAGTATTGTCCCGTGCGTTAGACTAATATTTATTGAGAGTATTTTATAATCTTCTCGTTTGGTTGATATTAACACAGTATTTAAATATTTTGCATATATTTATTTGTTAAATAAGAAAGAGCATTTAAAATATTTTTTAATTTGAAAATCTATTTAGATATGTTTATTTAATCTTAGAAAATATGTTTTATATTACGGAAATAAAAAACGATTGGATGAACATAAATATCATTCATTCTCTTTATATATAAAGTTTTGATTTTTGAAAGATTATATAGCAATAATACTGTCTGAAAATTGCGAAAGTAGTATATAGAAGTACTTTAATCTTTCGCAGATAATTTATAATGTAAGTCATCAAACATACATAATAGTACATAAACACTTATTTACCTCCTGATAGTAGGCGGGGCGAAAGATTGAGGCGGGCTTATTTGGAATCGTCAAGGAGGTGGAGTAGAGGCCCTTGTTTATCAATAGTCACCTTTTGTAAGGAATCTTGACTATGAGACACTAAAGATATATTTTACTGTTTTAAAGAGAAATGCCTTTTAATATTCCTATTGTATAAAATATTACAAATTCCAAATGGACATCATAATAGCACTAAATTAAATTAATTTCATTACAATATTTTAAAGGTGTTAAAATAATTTTCTATTTCATAAATTATATTTCTCAAGACATTGTACAAATGGGCTTTAATTAACTTTGAGAATGTCGAGGAAACGGCAAATATGCGGAGTTCCCCGCCCGCCCGCGCCTGACGCCCGCCAAGCTTGCTACGATTTACATTCACTCTCATTTATTATAAGACACATTTTCACAAACGCTTTTAATTCAAAAAGGAACTTTCATTTCTTTATAAATAAATCTTTTCGGAAACGTGACTATAATGCTTAATCTCAATGATTTTAGTAAATTATTGGACTTTCGTTTACTTTAAATTTTATTTAAGGGCCCAAATAAAACCGTTTCAATTATTATTATTTAATATGATATGAGTTTAAAGTTCTAAAGCACTCTCTAACCAAACCAGAACCAGTCACAGAGATAGGAAAATAGTGCGCAAGTTATAGTTTTAAATCAACTTTGCTTCGCATTGCTCGTATAAAATATTGATTATAATTGAATTAAATTTATACTAACAATAAATTTATACATACTTAAAAAAACACTAATAAAACCGTAATAACTTTCGGTTCGTAGTAACGTGCTACGAAGTAAGTTACGGACGCGCTACGATGCAGACATTAACTGATCCGCACTACGCCGAGGCTCGTAGCCGACTGAACACTGCGCTCCTTACTCGAATAGTATCCTGCTAGCGCGATACGTGCACACAAAAATCTATCCTATTTTCTTTGTAATTAAGTGCTATTTTCTTTGAGTACTTTATAAATAGACAAGACTCACGATAAATCATAAATACTGAAAATATAAGCTACGAAAATTTAATTCTTCCTACACGAACATAATGACGGCTTTAGAACTGAAGGATCATGTCGATCTGAAAGTTTTGTTGGATGATGAATCACCGTACTGTAACACTTTATGTTTCAGGGCAGAAGGTTCAATTTTCAGGTAATATTTGTTAAGGGAGGCGGTCGTAAGCCTCAAGGGGTGGTGCGTACGTTACGCGCATGCGTCTTTTCTCAAAATTCTTAAACTTTCAACTTTTGTTCTTGTAAACTATTCGTGATAAAAATAAAAAGTTTATGTAAGCATTTATGCACGATGAAATCTTTGAACAGCCTCAAGATTTTTTTCTGTGCTTTTATTAAGAATTTAAAATAAAACTTTAATTTAACAGTAATGTTAAATTAATTTATTTTGTTTTATAAATTAAATAATAAAAATTAATAATATACTACTTTCTCTAAGAATAAAAAGAAGAAAGTATGAGAAAGACATAGGCAAGTCAGAAATATATATAACGTACATACTTTTTAACAACACTATTTCTCATTATTTTAGTTTAAAAACCTTTACTTATCTAGTCTTATCTTTATTTTATTCGTACTAGCCCATTAATTTTTATAACCACTTAGATCTTCATATGGAAATTACATATATATAAAATTCACGCTGTTTTTTACCCCCTGGATCTTATTGATTCGAAAGTTACAATTTTAGCTAGATATATTTTATTTAAAGTTTAATACTGTATAAATATACAATACTTAGGTCATTCATCATTTCAGTAAGTTCAAAGAAAAATAATCGAATTATAGTTATTTTATTATTTTATCTATACTAATATTATAAAGAGGTAAAGTTTGTGAGATTGTGAGTTTGTGACGTTGTAGGGGGTAATCTCTGGATCTACTAAACCGATTTAGATGAAATTTGGTAAGAAGATAGTTTGAGAACTTGGTCTGTTTGTGTATTCGCGTTTCAGGCAAAAAGTACAGAATCAATTTTAAGTAAACTTTGTGTGGTGATAACTCGGCTTAACATTTCGGATATCTTTTACTACGAAAAAACTTTTATTCCCACGGGAAAATACAATAACTGATTCTTTCCAGTCGTTTTTAGAAATTCACATGATTAACGCTGGCTAAACCTTAAGAGATACATCTAACATCATAACAATGTACCAGAAAATTGTAGGTCTTATAATAAGGCCTATAGAAAAACCTGTACTAGCTTAATTCTTGTTCCTAAGGTACACTCGCAATAACTATTCATATCTATATAAAACGTACCTAGGGACGCGCCCGAGCGAAGCGTGGGTAAGTCACTAGTGGAACATAAAAAGTTAGATTGCTTGTAAAAAAACCGTTCTTTTTTCTTTTTTTTTCAATTGCTTGTTCTTAAACAAGAAACAAAACCAGTCTTGATGAAAGAGGAAGATAATAGGTAAGCTTAATATCAAAAAAATAATTAACTTTGTTCAATATTATATCAATAAAGAATATAGCCTTGATCATATTTTAAAAGACAACCTTGTTTAAATGTTACGCTCAATATAAAACACTGTTTATATAGTAAGCAGATTGGCGAATGACGATCGTACTTTGGCTCTTTAACTTATTACCCTTATATATATGTAGTTTGCTATATCCGTCCGTCCGTCTGTCCGTAGCTAAGCTCCAAGACTCTTAGTACTAGAAAGCTTTAATTTGGCATGGATATTTGTACATAATATTAGGCACGCCGACAAAACGGTAAGATAAAAACTAAAAAAAATTTTTTTTAGGGTACCAATCTCTACACCTAAAGTGGGGATGTTTTTTCTCGTCTACTTCTTGGTGTGGGGTGTTGTTGGATAAATCTTTCAAAAAAATTGCAGATTTGTAAAAACAATTTTTCAATTAAGGGATCCATTTGTGAAATAGTAAGCTTTAAATTACAAATTTTTTGTTCAAACGATTTTTTTTGGATATGTGAAAAAATTCACGGCAGTCTTTACATATAATAACATTGTAACTATTAAATAATATTAGATATTTTCAGAAAAACTTATTGAAATAAACATTATTATCGATACAGAGGCCGAATCTATAGTTTTTAGAATTTTTGTCTGTCTGTCTGTCTGTCTGCTACCGCATCACAGAAAAGCCACTGGAGGGATTTTGATACAATTTGGTATGGTGACAGCTGGTTATCCGGGGCAACATATAGGATACTTTTTACCGTGGGAAAATATCTCATTTTTGAGAAAAAATACAAAAACTGCAATGTAAGAGTATACGAATATGTAAAACCTAAGAATTTGATTTTTGGTCATCTGAACGCGGGCAGAGCCGCGGGCAATACTAGTAGTATATATAACGAAATTAAAAAGTAACTCCTAAATATGTCTAGTTAAAAGCATTTCCTAATAATAACCGGTTGTTAATGAAAAAGAAATTTGTAATACTGTTCAAGTTCAAGTCGTGCGAAGAGCGACCGCGGTATAGATACGATGTAACTTTCAATATGAGCTTTGTTACCGCTTTGTTCCACCATTTCTTGTGTCACTGCATTGAATCTATCGGCTGCTTTCCTTTGTGCACGGAATATTGCTCGTCTTTTGTCGAAATGAACGTAACCTCCCCGCGAGTTGTTTCAGCCAAGAATTTCGCGATTGCAAAGTAATATTTTCCCCTTAAGAATTTCGATGTGTTTCTTTCATATTGGAGATAACTTTAGATTATATTTTGTTTTCAATCATTCTTCGAAGTTTGGCCCCCAATATTACTCGTTCAAATGTTAGACATTGAAAACTGTGTATTTGTATTTTTTTTTCTTATTCATAGTTCTAAAGTATAGTCTAATAAATAGTACAAGTATTCAAGTAAAAGTCGGCAACGTGAGCTTTTGCCGATACCGTAATGTTAAAGTTTTAATGTTATTTTACAAAGAATAGTTTTCTACTTTATATATTTATTTGATTAGGACCAGTAACTCGTACTATATATCGTACTTAAATTTATAGTACATTGATTACTAATCTATTATTTCGTTAATTATATTAATTGTCACATTATACTTAAATATTATCTATACATATAATAAAATTGTAACTAAGCCGAATCTGTACATTAGATATATTTTGGAAAATCTTATTGAAATAAACATTATTATCGATACAGAGGCTGAATCTATAGTTTTTAGAATTTTGTCTGTCTGTCTGTTACCGCATCACGAGAAAACCACTGGAGTGATTTTGATGAAATTTGGTATGATGATAGCTGGTTATCCGGGTCAACTTATAGGATACTTTTTACCGCGGGAAAATATCT